TATCAAACAATATCATTAATATCACACACAATTAAAATCTTACTGAAGATAATTCAAAAATGGTTGCAGCAGTATATTGATAGAGAACTTCCCGAAATGCAAGCTGGATTCAGAAGAGGACATGGAACGAGGGATATCATTTCTGATGTCAGATGGATCTTGGCTGCAATCAAAGAATGGCAGAAAGATGTTAACTTGTGTTTTATTGACTGTGCAAAAACATTCAATTGTGTGGATCATAACAAATTATGGATAACATTATAAAGAATGGGAATTCCCGAACACTTAATTATGCTCATGAGGAAGTTGTACATAGACCAGGAGGCTGTCATTCGAACAGATCAAGGGGACGCTGCATGGTTTAAAATCAAGAAGGGAATGTGTCAGGGTTGTGTCCTTTCACCATACTTATTCAGTCTGTACGCTCAGCAGATAATCTGAGAAGCTAGAGTATATGAAGAAGAACGTGGCATCAGGATTGGAGGAAGAATCATTAACAACCTGCGATATGCTGATGACCCAACTTTGCTTGCTGATAGTGAGGATGACTTGAAGCATTTACCGATGAATATTAAAAACTACAGTCTGCAGTATGGATTACATCTCAACATAGAGAGAATGAAAATCTTGACAACGAGACCAGTAAGCAGCAGCACAATAAATGGAGAAAAGATTGAAGTCTAAGATTTCACATTACTTGATTCCACAATCAACACCAGTGGAAGCAGCAGTCAGCACATCAGATGACATATTGCACTGGGAAAATATGTGCAAAAGACCTCTTTGAAAAGTGCTAAAGAGCAGAAAAGTCTTTTTGAAGATTGAGGCATGCCTAACCCAAGCCATGGTATTTTGAGTCGTCTCATATGCATGTAAGAGCTGGACAGTGAATCAGGAAGATCGAAGAAGAGTTGATGCTTTTAAGTTGTGGAGTTGGCAAAGAATACTGAAAGTACTATGGACTGCCAAAAGAACTAACAAGTCTGTCCTGGAGGAATTGCAGCTGGAATGCTCCTTGGAAGTGAAAATAGCCAGACTTTTTCTGACCTACTTTAGTCATGTTGTTAGAGGGACCATTCTCTGGAGAAGGATATCATGCTTGGTAAAGTGAAGGGTCAACAAAGAAGGGGAAGGCCCTCAACCAGATGGATTGACACAGTGTCTGCAGTGATGGGCTCAGGTATAGCAAGGATTGTGAGGTTGGCACAGGAACCAGGCAGTATTTCGTTCAGTTGTACATACATTTGCTGTGAGTCGGAGACAACTCGATAGCACCCAACTACAACAACATGTGGAACACCCAGGTTTAGTACAAAGGCAACGCACCTTATTATGCACAGCCATCACTCATCTGTCATTGGAGTCTTGTGTGTTGCTATAATGCTAAACAGATTTCAACAGAACTTTAGATTAAGATGAACTAGGAAGAAATTACCTTTAAACCATACAATAAAAACCCTGTGGATGACAACGATCTGATTCACAACCGATTGTGGAGATGACACAGGACCAGGCAGCATTTCGTTCTGTTGTGCATCTGCTCACCATGAATTGAGGGCTAGCTTAAAGGCTGGTAACACCAATGTTATTGTACCCTCAGTATGTACCATGAAGTTTCTGGGTGGTGCACATAGTTAACACATTCAGCTGCTAAACAATGATTGTTGATTTGAGCCCACCCAGACACATCATGAAGAAAGGCCTAGTGATCTATTTCTGAAGAATCAGCTATTGAAGCCCCTGTGGAGCACAGTTCTACTCTGATACACATGAGGTTGCCATGAGTGGAATCAACTCAACTGGTGGTGGTAGTGGTGGTCATATATATCATAGTACTTCGTGTATAGAGGACACTCTATAATTTGATGAAAGAAGAGATAGATGGTTTAATAAATATTACTGCTAAATTTCTAAATGCTTTGTAGTTTTATCATGGTTGAAGCCTGAAGAAAGTTAAATATTTCTTACTGTCTGTTTCATTATTCAAATTGGTTGTGTCTTTGGAAGCTATAGTGAAATATGTTGCTTATCTGGGTGTTTGGAAAGCGTAGTCAGAAATCACTTTTACAATTTTTCTTCTCTTTTTAGCTATCTTTTGCTTATCCTTTGCTAGAGTAACAACTTATCTGTGATATTTATTATTAGTGAAATGAATGAATCAAAAACATAGTTTTTGATGTTTTTTTGGTTGTTGCTTTTTACCAGGTTTCTGGTATTTTATGAGTGTACAGAAAAGAATAGATAAAAATCAGCTTGACAGATCTGAGCTAGTTATCAAGGTATAGGTTCTTTCTGAACCTATTTTTAGGCTTCTAAGTTTTATTATTCACAGATTTTCAGTATACATACTTTTTAAGGGCACTCTGGTGGCATAGTGCCTAAGGCGTTTGACTGCTAGCCAGAAGGCTGGTGTTTCAAACCCACTAGCCACTCCTCAGAAGGAAGATTGGGCAATCTACTTCCATAGTGATACCATTTTGGAAACCCTAGGACACTGTTAGTCAGATCCAACTTGATGATAGTGAGTTTGGTTTTGGCTGTACTTTTCAAAAATGCTAATCTGTATCATCAAACATACTTGATTAGTATATGTTTTAAGGTAAAATAACAACCATGGTATTATTTACATAAGAGCTTTCAAAAAGAAAATGGTAATCTGTAAAATAGGTTGGCAGTTTGAAGCCACCAGCAACTTGACAACAACAGGTTTTGAAAATCTCTTGTAAGACCCTTCCTGGATTCCATTGTGAAAACAAGTTAATATAAAACTCTTTTCTAGTTCGTTTTCTCAAGGTTACTTGAGATAAGGTTACTTTATTGAACTGAGTATTTAAGCTAGTTGCTACTTAGAAGAAACTAAGCCTATGTAATTTTTTAATCTGATAAATAAATCTTCTCTACCAGCAAATCATGTAAATGAGTGGTTATGAATTATACATTAATTGGCCTTAAAATTAATAATTCGCAGATGTAGTGCTGAATGACTTGTTCTGTTTTCTTTGTTTTGAAGCTTCTTCTCAGCCTATTGATAACCATGTTAGCCCATCTTCCTACTTGAGCCAAACACCAGCATCACCATCTCGATACTCACCAGTTTCAAAAGCTGTGCTTGGAGATGATGAAATTACAAGGTAAGGAATTTCATATTCATCCTTGTTACATTTTTGTTGTTGTTGTTGTTGTTTGCCGTGGAGTCGGCCTCGACTCATAGCGAACCCCCCTTGCATTTTCAAGGCAGTATCACTACGGAAGTAGGATTGCCCAACCTCCCTTCCAAGGAGTGGCTGGTAGGTTTGAACCGCCAGCCTTCTGGTGAGCAGTCAAGTGCCTTAGGCACTATGCTACCTTGTTACATAAAGGGAACTATTATATGGAGTTTTAATCAGCAACATAAGATAGCCACAGTTTTAGAACTAAAAATTTATATTGGTGGATGATGAATTTAAACCTTAATTTTTTTTTTCATTATAGTTTTCATTGAAAAGTCTGAAGTGTAGAAGTATTTTATATACCAAATAAATTAATGCTCTTCGTTGTTGTTGTTGTTGTTTTGAGTACTGCCCTTTTGGTGGTACAATGTTTAAGGCATTTATTTGGCTGCTAACCAAAAGGTTGGCAGTTCCAACCCACTAGCCACTCCTCAGGAGAAAGACAGGGCAGTCTGTTTCTCTAAAGATTTATAGCCTTGGGAACCCTGGGGTAGTTCTACTCTACCCAGTAGGGTCACTGTGAGGTGGAATAAACTCAGTGGCAGTCAGTTCTTAGGTTTTTTTTCTTAAGGATTGGTAAATTATGCTTAGAAATTAAGTTGAAAACTATATTATGAATATACTTTATATGTGTATTTAAAACATTTTTTATATTTCTTATCTATTAAAATACATCATAAACTACTCTAGCAATTATTTATTGATGTTCAGAATTCAGTAAGGGGTATTTTCTTTATTTGGTCTATATTTTTGAAATCCTGATTCCTGACATTTACTTTTGTTACTGTACTGAACTGTACATTATCCTTTTAGTCCCAAAGAACTGTAGTAAGTGGAAAAAAATTGGTGAAAAATACTTGTTTTAATTATTCAATATAATAGTAAGATACTGTGTGCAGTTTGCTTTATTATTTACAGATATGAAATGTTTGATATTACATCATTTAACCTTAAATGTATACCAATTAATATCTGCTGTTATGTTTTTATTAAATGCATTATTGTTAATATTTTTGAAACTTCTTTATTCTTTACTTGTCTGACTTCTGACTTTTTACAATGATCTCATTAAGGACAGATAGGGTGTTTATCACTGTCCTCTTCTTATGAGTTAATGATGTTTGGAACTTAAGAGGTGCTCAGTATTGTGTTTAGAATGAAAATGAAAATTATCAGAAAGAGGTAGTATTCTTGATTTGTGGAATGAATATTAAGGTTGAATCTTTAGGCTATGCTCTTAGACTGATCTGTTATGGCCTTTTATTTTTGTTGTTTTCTAATAGTGCCAATTTATAGAGGTAAAGAGAAAAATAGTTAATGGATTATGTGGTCTTTTCTCTAACTTCTTTGCATATTTTACAAATATAAATTAAAAATGTTAGCATATATGTGTTGCTGTTAGGTGCTGTCCAGTAGATTCTGACTCAGCGACCCTATGTATAATAAGATATTATATACAATTTGCTTTATAATTTATAGAAATATATCATTTAATGTTAAATGTGTACCGGTTAATATCTGCTGTTATATTTTTGTTAAATGCATTATTGTTATTTTTGAAACTTATTTTGGCAGTCCATCTCCTTGAGGGTCTTCCCCTTTTCTCTGACCCTCCACTTTACCAACCATGATAGCCTTCTTCAGGGACTGGTCCCTTCTCATCACATGACCAAAGTAGGTGAGACAAAGTCTGGCCATTCTCACTTCTGAGGAGGATTCCACAAATTATGAATAACATTGAGAAGAATGGGAATTCCAGAATATTTAATTGTGCTCGTGAGGAAACTGTACATAGACAAGGAGGCTGTAGTTAGAACAGAACAAGGGGATACCATGTGGTATAAAATCAGGAAGAATGTGCGTCAGGGTTGTATCCTTTCACCATACTTACTCAATCTGTATGCCGAGCAAATAATATGAGAAGGTGGACTATATGAAGAAAAATGCAGCATTCTATAGCAGGTCTATTGATTTTCCTACTTTTCTGTGAAAAGCAAGTGGTTGAGTGATTGGATTGGCAGGTGGGTTACAAGATAAGTTAATCTTCCTAAATGTGTGTCTTATCACTCCATTTTGATTGATAATCACTCCTTTTTGGCTAGATAACAAAATACAGAAATCTTTGTCCTACCTTAGAAGTTCTCCAGTTTGTCCCTGGGTGATCTTTCTGAAGTTTTCATCTCACAATACAAAAAAAAATAATAAAAATCCCAGCACACAAGTTGATGGCTCATTTTAGTTATGTTATTTGAAAATCATAATGCATTTTTCTCTGGAAGTACTGTTGCATTTCAGAAGAGTATTTTTATTAAATATTATCTATATAAAAATATAAATCATGTATATTTTAAAGCATAGTGGAAGCCCTGAATAATGAGCCCACCATCTAGCATAGGAAACAAAACATCACTAGTATAGTGAAACCTACCTGTACCACTAGTCCTACACTAGCCTGTCCTACACTGACCCCTGCTCCTACCAAGATAACTACTTTCCTGAATTTTGTGTTTATTATTCCCTTTTTTCTTACATATATATCCTAAACAATACATTGTTTATTTTTCATATTTTTATACAAAAATACAAGCTCTGGTAGTGTAGTGCCTAAGGCACTCTACTGCTAACCAGAAGGCTGGTGGTTCAAACCCACCAGCCATTCCTTGGAAGGAAGGTTGGGCAATCTACTTCCATAGTGATACTGCCTCGGAAACCCACGGAGGGGTCGCTATGAGTCAGGTCTGACTCTATGGCACATAACAGCAGAAGCTCTGGTGGCATAGTGCTTGAAACATCTGACTGCTAACCAGGAGGCTAGTGGTTCAAACCCACCAAACCTCAGAAGGATGATTGGGCCTCAGAAACCCAAGGAGGGGTCACTATGAATTGGATCCAACTCAGTGAGTTTGGTTTTTTGGGGTTTTTAAATATATATATATATAAATTGATCTGGCAAAATTGAGTAATAGTGAATTCCTACATATGAGTGCATAGGAGCTCTGGTAGTACAGCACCTAAGGCATTTGACTGCTAACCAGGAGGTTGGCAGTTCAAACCCACCAGCTGCTCCACAGAAGGAAGACCAGACAATCTACTTCCATAAAAGATTTACTACCTCAGAAACCCAATGGAGGTCGCTATGAGTGGGAATCAAGTTGATGGCAGTGGATTTTTTTTTTTTTTTGGGGTGCAGAGGGATATTTTAAAAGATTAATTCCAAATTAAAAGGAAGGATCCCTAAAATTCCTTTTTTAAAAATATTTAACTCATTAGACGTTTTGTGATAGATAAATGTTTAAAATTTGAAATGCTCACTAAGTATGCTAGATTCTGATTAAGAATGATATTCTGTATTTCATCAAATCTAAAATAATCTGCTACTGCTGCCAATTTCATAGTCTTACCAGAAATTATTATTATTCTCCCACAATTATGTCTCAACTGTGAAATTGTGAAACGTTATCAATGGTAAGATATATTTGATTTTAGAAATTTTTAAAGGGGGGGGAGATACCTAATAGAATCAGTGAAATGTAGTATATGTATTTAGCCCTAGGGAGTGTTTTGTGGGGGGGCAGTATGCATCTTAGAATTGAAGAAATGAAATAACTCTAGCCTAAACTTTTAATTATGTTTTCTATAGTTCTTCTTTTCTGTGTAAAATGCAACTGTGACGGTAACAGCCTAATAACTATTCAGTAGATAATTCTTTAAAATGTGTTTCTACAGATCATGTTCAAATCATTCCATTTATACAGCATACTTACACATGATTACATCAGTTAAGAAAAATTGTAGCCGTTACTGTGTTTTATATCTGCTACTAATACAAAAAAAAAAAAAAAAGGATAAAGAAACCACTAATCATGGCTTAAACAATAAAGATACTTAAAGGTACTTATTTCATATAATAAAAAGTCTAGAGATTGGCCATTCCAGGGTTGGTGTAGCAGCCTTAGATTTCTTGTACTCTGTAGGTCTCATCTTCATTGTGATGTCCAAACAATAAAAAGGTTCTATTGCTATTCCTTTGTTTGATGGGAGTTAAGGGCACAAGTGCTTTGTTCATTTTAAAGTCTGTCTTGATTAAGGAAGTGACAGTAAAATTCCCCTTTCTCAGAGACCAGAATGCAGTCACAGCCTAACTTTTAACAATGAGACTGGATTGCAATGACTGGTTGTACCAGTAAGTCCTGATTCAACTCTTGGGAATTGGAGTAAAGGCCTACCTTTCCTTAAAATAAAGGGATGTCTGCCTTTCATAAAAGCTAGGATGAAGTTTGGATAGGGACTACTTCATAGGCAATATATTTCTTGAACAAGGTTCAGTTTTGTTTTAGGCATTTTTATATTATTTTTTACTTTCCATACTGTTTTGTCCCTTTTGTTTTTATAGTCTGATAACATAAGAGCTATCAAGAGAATTGTCATTGATAGAACATCAAGTTCATTTTAATTTTAAGGTTTTTAACTTTTTTTTTAATTTTTAGGGAACCACGAAAAGTCGTTCTTCATCGAGGCTCAACAGGCCTTGGTTTCAATATTGTAGGAGGTGAAGATGGAGAAGGAATATTTATTTCCTTTATATTGGCTGGAGGACCTGCTGATCTTAGTGGAGAGCTCAGAAAGGGAGACCGTATTATATCGGTAGGATGTGTTAATCAAAATAATAATGTTTTTGTCATTTTAATGATGACCTATTAATTATTAGAAGTACATTTTGGTTTGATTTTGTTTTTTTGTTTTTTACATCGTAAAGTTATAGGGATATTTTGGTTATATTCTTAACTTTATACAGCGTAATTATACTGTTATCAGAGAACTTCATGATAGATTTTTTGATAATATTTGACTTACTTATAAAGGGTCGGATTTTATAAATGTGCTTTAAGGGAATATAAGGAGCTCTGGTGACATAGTGCCTAAGACAAACCCACCAGCTGCTCTGCAAAAGAAAGATGGGGCAGTCTACTTCTGTAAAATTTAACACTTTGGAAACCCGATGGGGATTCTATGAGTCAGAATTGACACGATGGCAGTGAGTTTGGTTTTGGTTTGATATATTAATTTTAGGAGACATGGTGGCACGGTGGGTAAGCACTCAGCTGCTAACCAAAAGTCAGTAGTTCAAACCCACTAGCCACTCTGGGAAAAAGATATAGCATATTCTGCTCCTGTAAAGGTTATAGCTTTGGAAACCCTGTTAGGCAGTTCTACTCTGTCCAAGAGGTTAACTATAAGTCTGAATCAACTTGGTGGCAGTAAGTTTTGGTGGGTATATTAACTTTTTTTTTTTTTCCTTTGCTGGATATTTGCCTCATCTTTTATATCCATTTGTCTGTGTGCTTATATAATTATTAAATCTTAACAGTTTTAGACTAAAACTGATCAATAGCTCTACTTTTTGTCCTAATAGCACACAGACCTTGGGAAACTTCAATTCTAAATCACATTATTTCCAGTGTTTTACTTCTGTTTCATTTTTATACTTTGAAATTTTGTCATTTTCATTTTTGTTCTTTAACAGTTAACCCACATGGTCTATAATTTCTTTATTGATACATCTTTTTTTTTTTTGGTACCTAATTTTTGCTTCTATATCTCAATGGGGAGCTCTGCTAGCATAGTGGCTAAGACACTTGCCTGCTAACCAGAAGACTGGCGGTTCAAACCCACCAGCCACTCCTCGGAAGGAAGGTTGGGCAATCCTACTTCCGTAGTGATACTGCCTCGGAAACCCAAGGAGGGGTCACTATGAGTCGGGGCCGACTCGACGGCACATAACAACAACACAACATATCTCAATGAGTCACTCTAGCATTTTGGATGGGTCAGTTATTCATTGTAAAGAACTATCTTGCAATTTAGCATTTTTAGCTCCCATTCTCCACAAACTAGTAGAACTCCCTAGTCATTGTAAAAAAGGAAAAATATCCCATCAATATTCAGATTCACCTTAATGAGAGCCTTGCTTTCAGCAGTGCTTTTGTTTGAAAATATGTTTTAACCTTATTCATAAATTTAGTTCAGTCTGACATTTTTAGGTTGACAGCTATTATCTCTCTGTACTTTGAAGATGCTGTTTTATGCTGTCAGCTCACATTCTTACTGTTGTTTGTGAGTGATTTTTTCTTTTCTCTCTGCATTTAAGATCTCTTTGTCTTTGATCTATTGCAGTTTCACTAAAATGCATCTATCTCCAATTTTACTTACTCTGATTGGGATTCATTATGCTTCCTGATATCAAAGGAGAGTTCATCATCATTCATGATGTGTTTCTTCTTTCTAGAAACTTCTTAGTCATTGTCTTGTCAAATTTTTCCATTCCTACTTTATATGATTCTGGCCTTCTTGAACTCCTGTGACGGACTTAGATTCACTTTTCCATATCTTTTGGTATTTATTACCCTGTCTTCTTGTAATCCATTACTTCAGATCTGTTTTCTAATTCACAGATTTTCTTCATCTATGTCTAATCTGCTCTTTAAACCAAAACTAAGATTTTCATTTCAGTGTATCATATTTTTTTTTCTACAAGATACTCTTGTTCTTTTTTGAGTCTGCATTGGTGTTCTCAGGGAATCTTGGTTACATGCATCTTTTTATTTTCTTTTAGAGATTTTTTTTTTTTTAATCAAATAGTTTATTTTCTGAAGTTCGTAGGTGTCTAATACATGCTGTTTTTTGGTGACTCATGGTGAACTTTCTCATATTCTAAATTTTGCTTTGTGAGCTTATCTTCAGTGTTACTTTATTTGTGCAAATCCAGTGCTGCTTGAATTTTGTAGGGAGGGTGAAAGGTGTTTCTCCAGAAATATTTTACAGTGGCTTATGGTAGATTCCCAAGAGCATCATTCTTATCACCATTTTCCCAGTGAAAACACTGAACTTTAAAGATTATTTTGTCCATTGTTGTTATGTGCCTTTGAGTCAGACCTGACTCATTGAATAGTACTGTTGATCCAGAATATAAACTTTGTTCCTAAATCTCAAATCCTAAAATTTCAGAAAGTGTTACTTTATAATTTCTAATTTAAAACAAAGCAGCACAGCATAATACAGCGGTGAGAAGGAATCCTATTTGATAGCTATTATTGGCTCTATTTTTTAGGTATTAGTTTGTCCATAGTAGCTAAAAAATAGAGCCAATAATAGCTAATAAATAGTAGGATTCCTTCTCACCACTATATTATGCTGTGCTGCTTTGTTTTTAATTAGAAATTGTAAAGTAACACTTTCTGAAATTTTAGGATTTGAGATTTAGGAACAAAGTTTAAATTCTGGATATTTAAATCTGGATATTTAAATCAATATTGATTTCAAAAAAAAACTTACTGCTGTTGAGTCAGATCTGATTCAAAGTGATCCCTTCTTGGGTTTCCAAGGCAGTATCACTACGGAAGTAGATTGCCCAACCTTCCTTCCGAGGAGTGGCTGGTGGTTTGAACCGGGTTAGCAGTCAGATGCCTTAAGCAGTATACTACCAGAGCTCCCTTTCAACATTGTTAATATTTTAAATCATTTCTTCTATATAAATCAGTAGATACATTTCCAACTACAAATGTAAAATAAGGAAAATCAGAAAATATTCCCAAAATTGAAAATATATATGGCTGGAACATAATAGGAAAGTAATTCCAGAAATACAAATTGCATCTTTTATGAAGTTTTCAGATCAGTTTTTCTCACATTTTCATCCTCCCCACACATACTTAGATGTGTCAACATATTTCTACATCCTACTCTCTTTGATAATTTTAATTCAAGTATAGACTGAATCCAGGACAGAAAGAGAGGCGACTGATTTACAAAATAAGAAGTCAATTTTTGTTTGAGTTTTTCTGTGATGTCAGGGTTACCAGCTGGTGCTTGAAAGCACATAGCTCTTGAGCACTTGAGTCTTCAAATATGCAGCAATACTTCATTAAGGATTATAGTACTACAATCTTACAAAATTATTAATATGCAGTATAGGTGAATGGAAATTGCATTTCGATATTTAAAGGTGCAGCAGTTAAAATAGCATAGTATTACACAAAAATAGTGATCATTAGAACAGATTTGAAAAGCAGAAATAGACCATCACTCATATCTTAACATCCAAAACAGTTAGGATAAATTAATCTGGATAAGTTCAGAAAAACTAAACTTACCAGAACTCAGCATTAGGATTGGAGGGAGACTTACTAACAGCCTACGTTAAGCAGATAACACAACCTTGCTTGCTAAAAGCAAAGAGGACTTGAAACACTTACTGGTAAAGATCAAAGACTGTAGCCTTTAGTTTGGACTACACCTCAGCATAAAAATCCTCACAGCTGAACCAGTAAGTAACATCATGAAAAATGGAGGAAATGTTTAAGTTGCTAAGGATTTCATTTTACTTGGATCCACAGTCAACATACAGGGAAACAGCATTCAAGAAATCAGAGAACATGCTGCACTGGGCAAATCTGCTGGGAAAGACCTCTTTAAAGTGTTAAAAAGCAAAGATACCACTTTGTGAACTAAGATGCACTTGACTCAAGCCATGGTATTTTCAGTCTCCTAATATGCATATGAAAGCTGGACAGTGTGTAAGGAAGGCTAAAGAATAATTGATGTATTTGAATGATGATGTTGGCAAAAAAATTCAATATACCATGGACTGCCAAAAGAAAGACCAAATCTGTCTTGGAAGAAGTATAGCCAGAATGCTCTGTAGAAGGGAGGATGGCAAGACTTTGTCTGACATACTTTAGACATTTAATCAGGAGGGACCAGTCCTCAGAGGACATCATGCTTGGTGAATTAGAGGGTTGGCATAAAAGAGAAAGACCTTTAAGGAAATAGATTTACACAGTGGCTGCAACTGTAGGCTCAACCATAGCAATGATTATGAGAATGGCGCAGGACCAGGTAGTATTTCATTCTGTTGTACATAGGGCTGCTATGAGTTGAAACTGACTAGATGACACCTAACAACAGCAGTAACAAACCTATCAGGGAACTGAGGATTCAAAGAAATCTGAGTGAACTAACCTACAGAAAGAAACTAGCCCTTCATAGAAGAGAAAATACTAGTCTACTAAGACTTACTTAGTAGATTGGCAGGAAGAAGACAAAGAATAGACAGACACTCTGTACTTTCAACTGCTAAGAGATGAGAGTGGAGCCAGAGAGCTGAGATAAAGCCCTCCAAGATATTGTGGACAGAGGGACTCCCAAGATGCAAAGCCTGAGACCAGTCTGGAAAGCAAATAGAACTTAACCATCAATCCAGAAAACTGACCTGTGGGCTATAATGCAGAGAGTTTTGAAAGTTGTAATTCAGCTGTAAAACACAAACAAATCTTGAGAATCTTGCTAGTGCTTTACCCTAGACCCCCTCAGAAGGAAAAGGCTTTTATCCTGCTCTCGAAATATTTGAAGCAGTATCAACTGAAACCAGCTTAAAGTTAGTTTCAACAAAATCCAGTTCCATCTCAGCTACAGGTCATATTGATGCATCCTCCTACTCTAGTAGCCTGACAGAGAAGAGTTGTGTTATTCTTTACTTTGGAGGAAAATAAACAAAAGATAGGGAAACATCAACATAGTTAAAAGTTCATTTGTTGTTTCATAAAAAATACTAGTAAAATTTTACAAACCTCTAGCAATACTGTTCA